CTAGAGGCATGCTATGCTAGCTGAACGAGTAGGTAGGGTTAGTCAGCTAAAGGAACTGACTAATCTGAGTGGGGTATATTTTTTTATAGTATAACTGAGCAATTTTCATTCTTGCAGTTTGTCTCCAAGTCCACCTCATAATGCATGAAAAGCAGGACAATTCCACCATGGTCAGTCCGTGCCTTTTGTTCCCAAGTCCCTAAGAATCAGTGCAGAAAGATACTGGTCTGGATTCCTTAGCTCACATTGTTCTCATCAAAATAAACCAGGGTCACTGCCAATGCAATATAACTTCTGCCCACTTAAATCTCACGATGCCATGATGTGAATCAGAGCTGACAAGTGAACTGTCTCTATTAACCTCTTCAGTGCTTCAGATAATATCCAAATTCTATCATATAATGAGTTTTGGAATATCCTACATGATCTGTTATTGAGGCTGGAGGATCTGCCTCTTCCCCAGTTCTTCCAGCCACTTTCTGGCCAGTTATTTTCCTATCTTCTGCATATCACTCTGTGAAGGTCAGAGGTGGTATGAGAAACTCTTCCCAATCTTAGCACCCATGCATCTGGAGGTGCCCAGTTGTGAGCCTTTGTGAACCATTCAAGTAGAAATCACTGCTAGCTTCCAATGTGGTCTGCTGATGTCTCTTAAAGTAACACTTAGAGGGCAGTGGGCTGAAGTGACATCTTAGGCAGCATGCTGAAGTGGGTCAGGAGGACAGTAGTTGGGTTTTGAACCCAGTTCATGACCCACAAGTCAGAGTGGCTCCTTCATTTCATCTAGTAGTAGGGCTAGTTCCATAGCTAGGCTGACATCAAGCTGTGGGACCAGGACATTAGAGTCACACCTGCAGATTCACACATATTAGGGGTGACTTAGATTCACAATAAAAGGGCAATGTGATTTGATCTTTTATTGGCTTGAAGTGTCTATCTTCTATCTGCCACTTGCCAAAGCTAGAGGTAGTTTCTGGGCAGGCCCTGTGCCCGGGCAAAAGCCCATTTGGGTGGAGAAGCAAAGAGATCTGTTCTGCAGCATGGCTTACCAAAGCTTTCTGTGAGCCCTGTTGGAGGAAATGTCCCTTGCCTTGTCTGTCACCTTTTACCAGGAGTTTGAGGCAAGCCATGCTGGAGAAGACAAATAACAGCATCCTCTGTAGTGGATCTGTTTCTAGCTTTGGTAAGCAGTCTAGAGGAAGCTAAACCACCTCTTTTGAAGCAGCATTCACCAAAGCTTGGCTAGAGCTATTAGAGAACTTATGAAGCACTCTAGTCACCTCACTCTTAATGTGATGGCCACGTTGCTTCACAAAGCAACTTCAAGGATATGTATTGCTTGCGCGCTCATCAAAACAAAGCACCCCTTTAAAGAATCTCAGTCATCAGGGTATGAGCTGTCCCTGAGTGGAATCCAGAAGACCTCTGAATAGTTGTCCTTCCACAAAGATGGCAGCAAAAATATAACTCCTCCAAAAGTACACGCATGGATTAGGTATGCACATTTGGTGGTTTGTATGTATGCAAATCCAGCTATGCAAATACATACTTGTTTCATAGCCTTGCTTAGATCATTATTCCCAAGGGAAATAACACAAGTTAATTTGTAAAGAGACAGTTTGAGAATAATTTGCATGCAAAAACTAGTTTGCCCCACCACATCCATTGCAAACAAATGTCTTGCTGAACATTTCCATAATTTATGTGCACACATTTTAGCTGGTTTTTTTTTTAGTGACAAAAGGCAAAAAGAAAAGGCAGGTCAATGCCAATGCATCCATATAGCAGCCAAGAGGGGCACTTTTAAAATTATTATTTTGGTCTCCCAAGGAGTACAAGGTTATACAGTGCCATCCGGTCCATGAGGCTGGAAAATTGTGTACTTCCTCTTTTCTTAAAGGGCTGGTGGATATAAAACACTAAATCCCTGTTACATCTTGTGGAGACTTAATGCACTTATATTGTACTATTTTAGAGGGCAAAATAATAATACTCCCCTGAAGATCAGTAAATTTGCAGCTGGGTTTCAGGGTGAAGATCTTTGGGTTGTCTCAGAGCCACACTTTATTCACTTTTACACGTTTTTCTAGGAAGGCAAAAAGTGTTCCTGTCTCTATTGCTGAAATATTAGTATGTTTATAACTAGATTAAATGTAACCTAGTTGCCAACCCAACATTATTTTCCCATCGTGAGCAATCAAAGACCGCAATGTAGTCTTCTCCAGAAAGTGATGCTACCCATGTAGTAGGGATTATGCACAACCATTCCAGTGTAACTCTGCAGCTTTAATCTTCATAAAGAAAGTGGGCTTTGGTGATTCAGGTTGTTCCCTATTCAGAATGATCATGAACAAAAGAATGATAAAACATAAGGACTCCAAGAGAAGGTAGAGGAGCTGGAAGCAATAAATGCTGTGGTTTAGAGCAGGGTAAAATACCATCAGGCTTTCATATGTTGCATTCCAACTTCCAGCACTCCATCTCCTTGCTTCAGTACCCTCTTACTTTTTTGCCAACAGCGCAGACTAGGTTTACAACATGCAGTGTTTGGGCAGCAAGTAATGGCATACAGAAAAGCCCCTACTTGCTTATCTCAAAAACCATGGGGGCATTGGAAGCATTCCTGTCAAATACATGAAAAATCCTTGAAGAATTTTGAGAGCGTTCAACAAGAACATTTAGGAAGAAACCTGCTGGTTGAATGGAGGCCATTACCATCTTATATGCAAACACATACAAAAATAAGAACACTTATTTATGGAAGAAGAGATGGTCACATTCCTTTGAGGAAACAGTTCTCTTGAACGTATATGTAAGAGGTAGGTTTGCTTGTGAGCCTCCCCACCCCACCCTATTGTTCTGTCTGTCCAACAAACAATCATGGTTGCAAAGTTAACGATTGACTAACAGATGGGAAGAACAGAAGATCAACTAGCATTGAGCTGGACTAAGAGAAAACTGGGGGCTGATCCAAGTTAGAATGGAGCACTATTAGAGGAAAAGTGGCCATCCGGAACTGATGCCAAACTTTGTCAGAATCCCTGCTATAGGAGTGCAGTTTTCATGTTGCATCTTAGACTGCCTCTCTTCATGTGCTGTTGGCAGACCATACTTATTACTCTAACCCCACCTTTTCGCCTCCTTCTGTTTCTCTCCTTGTTTAGGAATTTGTCTTACTTTGCTACCCACCACAGCCCCTCTGCTGTCATTTTGGACTTATGGGAAGCCAGACACCAGCACGACGGTGATTTAGACTCTCTAGCCTGTGCTCTGGAAGAGATAGGAAGGACACAGCCCCAAATCTCTAAGCTTACAGAAACTCAGATTGAGGAATCCAACTTCAGCTACAGCAGACAAAATGGACTTTAGCCATCACTTTTCTTTCAGAGAGTCAAGATCTAGCTTGCACTTGATGGAGTTCCTGTTAGCAGGGAAGAAGCCACATGTCCTGATTTCATCACATGCCTTTGCACCTCCCGATTTTCACTCAGTGGGTCACCTCCTTCTGCCCTCAAGCCAGGTCCCATTTGGAGGAACAGAAGAAGCTGGTAAACCACAACAATAACACAGAGACTTATCTATGCTGGACAAAAAGGGAAAATTTTCTCCCCCTACCCCACACCCCCCCCAAAAGTTAAATTCTATGCTTGTGTGCATCCTTCAGACACAAAGTGTGTATGAATACACAGTGCTACAACCAAGAAAAGAAAATATGAAAATTATTGCAGATGCTTGAAATTCTCTTTGTGTGTGCGTGGGGGTGTGTGTGTTGAGATGCTTGTTTTTTGTTTGTTTGTTTGTTTAAACAACTTACAGGGTTAGTTTATAACTCAAAATAGGCAGCGTGGGCTCCCCCTGAGGAATATGCTCATACTGGGGGCACAGGCAAGGAATGGAGGTCACTGCTGACACCAAGTGGATAGAATGCACAGAAATCAATATATTGCTACATTTTGGAGTAGTGTTGGGGGCTTAGAGCTAAGCCAAATGTTTCCTGCAACATATTTTTATAACTCAAAATAGGCAGCGTGGGCTCCCCCTGAGGAATATGCTCATACTGGGGGCACAGGCAAGGAATGGAGGTCACTGCTGACACCAAGTGGATAGAATGCACAGAAATCAATATATTGCTACATTTTGGAGTAGTGTTGGGGGCTTAGAGCTAAGCCAAATGTTTCCTGCAACATATTTTTAAGCAGATTTCTGAAGGTTTTCTCTCTTTTTTATCCCTTTGGAGGAAAATGCTGGTTGCATAGTTTTCTTTAGAAATATTGTCCATTTTTAGGGGGTAGAGGTTGTGAACTTACACATTTAAATAATAATAAAAAAGGTCTTGGCTGGATGGAGAAGAAGGAACAGTTATTCTCCTTTCCTAACATGAGAAAAACTGGGACATTGTCTCTATTTGCTGTATACCTTCATTCTAACTGGGAAATTTGAGAGGCTGCCTGAACAGAACTCTAAAAAATGCTACTGGTGATTAAACTGAAAGAGAATGATTGCCCAAATGCATAACTAATAACAGACATGAGAAATCTACAGTTTTATTTGTGTTTAGGTTATGTGGAAATCAGCAGTTTAAATCTTTTCTTCCCTTGTGAAAGAGGCATCTGATGTTCCACTATAATCTCAAAATGCTTGAGATTTTATTTCAAATTACTCTTGATGTGCTTTTCAGCTGACTTTATAAGGGGAGGTAATGGATGGGATCTACTGCTGGGGCTATTTTCTATTGCACAACTTGCTACCACTCTACAGCCAGCCTCCCTGGGTGCCTACATTTTCTCCTCTGAAAAACACCCATGGTAGGAGTTTCCTTCTGAGGTTTCTTTCTTGAGGGTTTTTTTGTTGTTGCTGTTGTATGGTGCCCAGGCTCTCATAGTTTGAGTTGGGTGGCCTTGTAAATCTCATAAATGAATAAAGTATGAAAAGCCAGAGAGGCTGCAGACCTCTGAAGAGGTGACTGTACAATAAAGGATATAGCCTTTGATGGCCTCAGAACTGAGAAAGTGCAAGAACTCCATGTTCCATCTGTAAGAATTTTTCTGAAATTCTGTTCTCCATTGAATAGATTATCTAAAGCAAATCCTCTTTCCTCAAATAAATGAGAACTAGTAGAAAAACTGCAGGAGAATAAACTGCCTTTCTTTTTTCATTCTAAAAGCATTTGCTATAAAGATGGGGATATCCCTGATTTTATTTGAGCAGTGGCGGTTAAAGTTATATACAACCCTTACTCACCATATCATTGCCCTGATCAAAATGATCATCTGGTGCTATTACACACTCAAAGGATAGTGTTTTGCTCTTTTCTTTTTTGAGAAGTTTCTTCATAAGAGGCAGCACCAAAGGAATTGCATCAAACTGTGATTGTTTGGTTATTTGGTTACTGGTTTAATATCTGAAGTGGTTTTTACTGTGTGCAGTGAGAATGGATGCCTTTAAAATAATATATGGGGGAGAGGACCTAAACACAAGTTGTTATACTTTATGAAACTCACACTTATAACTTTGATTGCTGCTCCTGGGGAGCAAGGAAGGAGAAAGAAGCTGCTTTGTAGAAGAAATGAGTCAATTATAACTGGAGCCAATGAGTTTTGGATCTTTTAAGAAAGAGCAAGTACTTCTGGAATGTAAATTTATAAATTACATTCCAGAAGTTCAATCTCCAGGTTGGGTTGGCAAATTTCCCTAAGACTCCAGAGAAATTTTACGATCAGTCAGTGTCAACAGCAGTGGATTAGATGGCCCCAAATTTTGACCTGATGTAATCACCTTCCCATTTTCTTAAGATACATGCTGAAGAAACTGTCCTGACTTAGATTTAGGTTGGTTGGGAAGCTTTCAAAAAGACATTGATTGGTTCATTCTTTGTTGGTGCAGAAAATCAGAAAGGTCCTAGATAGTTTTTTTTAAAGTACTTTAAATAACTGTTAAAGTACTTGTCTGGAACAAAATCAAAGACTTTGGTTCTATCCAAGTCCTCTGCACATATTGTGTTAGATCCAGGCTTGTGACGCTTAGATTTGTTGAAGTCAATGGGCCTTTCATCATCATAAGTGATGTACAGTACTTGCCCCACTGATTACAGTGAGTCTACTGTAAACCATGGTTTTCTTCAAAGGAAGACTATTTTATTTTGTTTTTCAAAAAAGATAACCCCCATTTGCTTTTTGAGAAATGAAGACAGACCAATTCTGATAAATCATCTTTTTCCCTTATACTTCTGACTGTTTGAAAATCAGTAATAGGAGTGTAACAGTCTTTTCTTTCTCAAATTAAATGTTTGATTTTCCTGTTGTTGTAGCTATTATCATTATAATTTTCAACTTAGCATGGTGTCTGTGGTTTTCTCTCCAATCATTATATTCACAGAAGCTTGTAAAATAAGCTGTAGAAACAAGTGTCTAATGCAATTCCTGGTTAAATGGGGATTTGAACCTGTTTCTCCCCAGCCTTGCTAAATAATCTAATCATATCAGACTTGCTGATGAGCAGTTCCAAGAAATAAGATGGCCATTGACTAACTGGATCTTTGTACTAAGCTGTACCAACTTTCATACAGCTGCATCCTTCAGACAGAAAATATTAGTACTCTGTTGGCATACTGCTAATGTTATTTTGATTTGTGTTTTTACACTTGTGCAGTCAAAGCTCACTAACACTTATTTTGTTATCACTCCTGCCACCTCTATATTTACTGTTTGAGCTATTAAAGTTTCTTAAGCTCCCATGTCTTTCAATTCACACTTTGTGTCCATTCCAGTTCTACATGCATTAGGAAAGCACAAAGCCTCCTTGATTTTCTATATCTTTCATGAAATAAAAGAAAGGAAAATGAGTTGGGCTGTTCAGCTTCTAGGTTAGGGATAAGCATCCTGCAGACCACATATATCTCCAACAAAATGTGAAATTGTCAATGATCATTTCTGACATTTCTTAAGAATTCCATGTTCTTTCTCTAGCAGCTTCTTCATAGGACAGAGAGAGAAAAGTGTCAGAAAGATACATATTAGAGAAATTAGTTTGGGAAAAAAATAATAAAGCATGCACCATGCATACACATGTGCAGATTAAGAAGAGATTATCTTTGCAATATAATATAAATTACATTAAGGAAATACAATATATACTAAAGTACAAAATGTGCTTGAAGTATGTACAGATTTCCAACAGCTACACCCAGCAAGGAGAGTTCCAATGTTCCAATAACACCTACACATATTTTCAGCATATTTAGAACATGCTCCTCTGCCATCCATACATTTGGCATTGACGCAGAGCAGTTTTTCAGGAGAACTTTGGAACTGCTCCTTTCTGAAAAAGACTTTCAACTGGCCCAGGATGCTGCCTGCAAAACAAAAGCTTATGTCCTCTAGCAAATCTATGGACAAACCACAAAGAACTGTGACAAACCAATATGGTCAAATATGTATAGCGACAAATTAGGTCCATGTACCAGGGATGTTATCTGGCCAAGAGTTAGTTAAACTGACAACCTGAAGTGAAGCTGTGCATCTCTTTCAGAGAAAAGCCCCCCCTGCCTGGTTCTCCTGATGGGGCACACTGGTTGCACCCTGATGCCAGGTCACTTCAGGCAGTGGTGATGGTTCTGCTGTGCTACTTCTTCTGGGACCATGTGTATTGGCCTCTGGAACAGCTTGGCTCCAGGACCAGTAGAGAGGAGAGGTCCAGCTGGATGCCCAACTACCAGTCAAGCCAGTGGGGAGTGGTGGTGGCAGCACATAAAGCATCTCTATTTGGTCAATAAGGGTGTACCAAACCTGGCTCCAAGAGTTGTGAATGATCGTCAAAACCAGTTGTTGCTTAATTTAGGTAACTATGAAGACTTAATCTCGTAAGGCCTTATTACTGCCATAAAAATGCATAGAGAAAAACAGGAGATATTCATATCAAAAATGCACCTTTGAGTACATAAAAAAATCCCCTGCTTTTGAGAAAATCCTTATGGTTTTAGAAATGAAGGTTATTATACTATGATAATCCCAGGTTTTATTTCACTCCTATATAGTAGATGTTAATTAAATAGAAAAAAACTGCCCGAAGGCAAGCAAAGTGCTTCCCTGGTTGCTTCACCTTGTCTCCCCATTTATGACTATAAAAATCTTCTCAAACTTCAACTCTACTTCACACTCCCAAACTTTCTTATAAAAAGGCATTGGTGAGATTCTATACGTACTACACAAAGCATTTATACTAAACAGAATCACCAGTTTTCTTGATTTATGGTGAATAGGTCTCTGAGAAATTCTAAGCAACCTAGAAGGCTAGAGAACACTAGCTTTTTTTTCTTACTAGAATGTGTTTTTATGCCTTTTAATATAATGTCCTTTTTTTCTATTTTACCAAAAAAAAAAAAAACGTATACAGTTTGGCAGGTGTATATGGCATACGCTTCCTTTACGAGCTTCTTATATTGATAAATGATGTTTGCATTTAAGGGCACCAAGTTGGCCTCATGTCTTTGCAATTTATAGGATTTTAATCTAGACAAGCAAGGCTGCAAAAACAGCATTGTCAAAGTCTCTAA